TTTTTTTTTTTTTTTCTTGGACTGCAGTAGATGTGGTGATAGCATATCCATCTTCGTAATGAAATAGAGGAATCTGGTGTTAGAAATGATCCATCAATTAAAAGAATCAAATCAGAATTGGAGAAGGGAGTTTCCTACAGATCTTATCTTGTATTAAGTAACTGGTCTTTTAAATCTAGGCAATCATGAAACACACTTTCAAAATCATCAAGTATAGGTTAGAGGGTAGTTGGGTTTAAAGCATTAATGATGTCCAATCTATTATTGGAGTTGACTAAAAGCAGAACTTTGTAGGACATTACTGTATCGGTGGAAAATATTGAGTCAAGAAAGAATTTAAGATTTCAGACATATTATGTGGAAAGAACACATCTAAAAGTTTTATGAGTACAACATTAACTGTGGTTTCCACCAACATGGCTGTAGTGGCCATTGCTATAAGGCATGCAGGATATTCCCTGGCCTCTGGACTTCATGGTAAGCTATAGTATCTCAAAAGTTGCTGTCGAACCTCACGTGTCTAAGTGAAGACCCCAATGCATTTACAGGACTTAAAAAGAAAATCTGGTTTATACCTGGGGAATCCTAAAGCTGGCATGAAGATAAGTGACTCCTTTAATTTCAATTCTCTCATCAAAGAACTGAAATAGATCAGGTGCAGATCGCTTTGAAAACTGATAAAGCAACTCAGCTATTAGTGAAAATTTAGCAGTCCAGGCACAACAGTAGACACAAAGTCCTAAGAATCCTTTCCATTGCTTCTTACTGGTAGGCATAGGGAAAGTCAGAACTGCCTTTTTCTTTCCCCCGTTTTGGTTCTGTGGATACTCCTTGTGCTGAAAATATGTATGCTTTAAATATTTCCTGAAGATAGAGTTAATTGTAATATTTCCTTGACCATTTTATGCCTCAAAAGCAGACAAATGCTGTGTTGTTGTTCTTGTTATGTGCCGTCGAGTTGGACCTGACTCATAGTGACCCCTGCTTGGGTTTCCAAGGCAGTATCACTATGGAAGTAGATTGCCCAACCATCCTTCCAAGGAGTGGATAGTGGGTTTGAACTGCCAGCCTTCTGGTTAGCAGTAATAGCAGAATATTATCCTTTAAACATGTGTCTAATGAAAGGGAATGGAGTAACAAATCATCAATGTACTGAAGCTATTAGAACCACTGGAAAATTGCAAGGAATGTAAATATGTGTGTACAACTTGAGAAGTGTAAGTAGGACTTTCAGTATTCCAATGAAGAATAACTATCCAGATAAATTCTTGACTATCTCATGTAACAACAAACAGATGGATGAACCGGGATATTAAAAAATAGAAGACTTTACACAAATATATTATGGCAAAATGAGTAGTTTCAGTAGGAATATTAGACAAAAGTAAATGGGGGTTAAGCACTATGGGAAATGGAGGGATTAATTTCATAAACTGTCATCCTCAATTCTTGAATACCTTTTCAGGGAAAACAGAAATATTGCATGGACTAATATAAGGGATAATGAGTCTTTTTCATCAGAAAATCTTGGATTATGAAGGCTAGCCTTCCATTGCTTTCTTCTTTATAGTGTATTGTGAAGCACTAAGAAAAAGCTTAGAATGATCTATTTGAATTTTGATGGGTTTGGCTGAGAAAACTTGACCAATGTCTGTGGAAAATACAACCCATAATATTTCTAGAACTGTCAAAAATGCAATGTGGTCCCAGGAAACCAGGCATCCCATGGGGCACAAAGATTCCTGAAGGAACATTGATATCAAATTATTTTATCATTTAAAAGTTCTATCAATCTGATCAAAGAATGCTTATTGTGGAAATCTGGCAATCCAGATACCTTTTATTTTAAGGTTTCCCTTAAGAATACAAGTTTATTAATGCCAAAAATACCTCTGGATAAAATGGCACCTTAAGATCATCTTTGGTATGTTGTTGTTGTTGTTAAGTGCCATTGAGTCGTTTCCAACTCATAGCGACCCCATTCACAGCAGAACAAAACACTGCCTGATCCCGCGCCAGCCCCACAATCCCTGCTATACTTGAGCCCATCATTGAGCCACCATGTCAATCCATCTCTTTGAAGGCCTCCCCCTCTTTCGTCGACCTTCCACCCTACCAAGCATGACATCCTTCTCCAGGGAATGGTCCCTTCTTACAACATGACCAAAATAGGTGAGACGAAGTCTGGCCATTCTTGCTTCCA